ATCTGTCCATATGGTCTCAGTTCTGAAGAACTCAGTCCAAAGTGTGAGTGGATGAATGAGCTCAAAGCACCTGCTTGGTCTTTTCTCCTTGCGATGTAACTTCTAAAGTATCTAGATGGTTATTCATCTTTGAGGTCGTTCTATATGCTTTCCATTACAATGCTATTTATCGAGGAACAGTGCAGTATTTGAAAAAATGAGAAACTAATTGATAGAATTGCAAATAATTAAATCTAACCAAATCGAGATAATTGCGATGGTAATTTTAGATAAGAGAGCACTCAATTAGTAAGCACTTCGCTAGGAACGGCTTGCGGAAGGGACTTACCCTTAATATTCTGTCCAGTGGATCTAGGATAGTCCAGGATTTATGGAACGGGCAAGGAAATGGGTTACTGGTGTCTGCCGTAGCTATGCTGACATGCCGCGTGTACGTCATTCGCATCAGGACCTTGTCCTTACCTATTCCTGTTACCTATTCTGACGTTTATCTCGCGTCAAGCTCTTACACTACGATAGGGTAACACAGCACGAAAAGTTCTATTCTATTGATTTCGGATTTTTTACTTGCACGGGTTATATTCCTTTGAAGTTATATATTATATGAGAAAGGGATGGTACTCCGCTGAGTCATTTACTAAAAAGGTCCTAGAAGTTTGAGCAAGGCACTCTGCTATGGTCAGGAAAAACTGCCGCTCACGACCCCCCCCCTCCTATCAAAGCTACGATTTTATGTAATGGCGATTAGAGCTTTCCTAACCGGAGAGAAACGAAAAGGGCTTCGGAAGTGAGCCAATTTCAAGTGCGTTAAGTCTAAAAAGATGTCATTACTCTAGTTTTCCAACGAGGAGCCGTGACGAATACCCACTCAAGCTTTAGCGTCGGAAAGTCGCTCCTCGATACCTCTTCCCTCCTATTTCCTGTTGGGGAATCCCCAGCAATCACGATACATACCTGACTTAGTTATCGCGAACCCTACCGTAACTAATTGTCAGACAATCAAGTTGTGATTAAGACGTGGGCGGATGACGTGACATAAGGAATTTCTCGTTAGCGTGCAGATTCTGGAATATTTCCATGTGTCTTATCAATTCGTTGTTTTTCATTTCACCTGTTTTTCATTTGTAGGTGCCTGAAGGGGTGGAGACTTGATGTATGAGGGGGCCCAAGCTGAGGCATTTTTCGCTATACTACACTCTGACTGCTTCCTGTCAACGCGCATGTCCAAGTTTGTCGCAATTAATTTTCCACCTCTTGTTCTTCGCTCTTACGACTTTGAGCTCTACTAATTAGTCACTACTGCTACTACTTCGCGTCACTCTTGCTACTACTTACGCTTTTACTGAGTATATGCTTGCTGTTCAATAGTCCAAAAAGGGTTCTATTATAGGGCACTGCGGTTTCGTCTTCTTGCAGTTTATATACGGGGTGGCAAAAAGTACCTGCACGTGGTCGTGGATACTTGCTGAGGTCAAAATATTTGTTTCGGGGAAAATATGAGCCTAATTCTATCTTCTAACGGCATCGAGCTTCGATCCATGAATTCAAAACAGCGATTCACTTCGTTCCAGGAGACGGGCAAGAGAATCGTGAATTGCCGCTTCGTCGCGCGCGACATTGGGCGCGACGTTTCCTTAATTTGCAGTGCCATGGAGCATCATTCCACGTGACAAGGACATGGCAGACAATTATGCTTATTTTTGGTCATACATTGTCTATTCTCGACCAATACCATCTAAACCGTCGTCATTAGCAGGCGCGACGTCGCAGACGCCCACTGGCGCGGCGAATTACGATTTTCTTGCCACATACCCCTTCGTTCCTTTCAAAATTGGCTCCCTGACCGCGGACCTTTAGCAGCCTGGATCTGATCCTTTAGGCTTGCTATAAGGAGCCAAACGTGAAATTTCTGATGACTTGAAACAAAAAAGCTTCAAAAATATGGGTTAATCCAGACATTGACTACCTCCGTTGACTACCTTTCATAAAAATTAATTTTCTTTAAGGGCGCATGGCAAAAAATTGAGTTGTAGCATTTTTATGGCGCACGTAATTTTTCGCCACCACGTAGTACTAGCCCGGATCGATGCACTTTAGAAATGAATGAGATTCGGCTAAATTTTGCCCTTCTTCCGTGAAGCTTTGTCGTACATATGTACTTTGTTTCAGTTTACATTTTCCAATAAAGTTGTTTCTTCTCTGACGGGAGCTGCTTGGGAGGTCCACGCTGTGACTTGTCTTGCGGTCAGTATGTGACCAGGCTCACAAATTAGATAGTATTACCTAGCTAGTTGACTCGACTTGCCGTAGCACTTCCATGTCAGTTTGTTAGATTGAAGAGTGAACACCGCGCTTATGACGTCACACGCGACACCACTTCCGTCCTATTGCCGCAAGGTGGATCTCCCCACCAACATCCTTCTCGAACGCTTCTCGAATACATTACTGGGTTCAACGGCTATAGTGGTCAATGCTATCAAGCACTTGGAATACTCATTACACTTGATTTCCTCCTGAAATTCTATTTCATACTTTAAATGTTTGAAAAAAACTTTATTCGAAAATTTTGAATTTATTCATTTTTTGTAATAATTGGCTTGCTACGAGGCAATGTTCATAAGCTGTTTGCGAATCTTAGCCATATATCATGTGGAAGGGGCAATTCTCCGAGAACGTTTATTGGATGGCCTCGACACGTTGGTAGAGGTATCGTTCATGTAAGATTGCTACCTTTCCCCTACCTACAAGTAATTGATTTCAAGGCGCTTAGGTTAAAAACGGTGTTCACTCATAACCTATAGTCACTCAATGGTCTTCAGAGGGAAAAAAGTAAAAAAAAATTATGGAGAACACCTTAGATAAGGACCTGTGGCAGCCTCACTCAGACCTGCTCGTTTTATGCCTTCAAAGCTAAATCCTACCGCCTCTGGACTCAACAATCTTTTTTTCGTGTCATGTTAATACCATCCAACAGTGGAAAAAAAAACAAAAAAAAAAACACGGTATAACAACCGAACTGTTCCCAAAAATAGCCTTTAATTTTGGTGGGCGGGAAAACTAAGGAGCGTCCGAATTGCCGTCAGAACTGCCACTTATGAATGGGGACTATGACTTTTCTAGAGTATTTTTCTCTTTTCCGTTTGCAGCCGTTCCTGTTGCATTTTGCTTTGAAAGCAGAAACTGGAACGTTTTCCAATTCAATTCCTATCGGAGCACTACAATTTTCCGTTCGATGAGACAGGAATGTTTGCGGGGTGACTCATAGGAAAGATAGGTGCGTTCTATTTAACTGGACGAGTCCATCGAGTATAAAGCCGTTTGTCATATGCACGATTTCCTGGGAAGGTTTAATTAACTTCGCACGCCTGGGAAGATGTAGAGGTGAGAAATGAACGGGTTGCAACACTTCTCTGATATTTACGGTTTCTGTGCGTTATTCACATGCAGTTGAATTTCTACCTCACATTTTTACCTCCTTATGCATTTGGCATACTTCTTGGCATATTACCGCTGACTATTTATTATTTATTTTTTATTTATTACATGCCCAACGACATGTTACTCTTAGTTAATATAAAGCGTACAACAAAACTCAGGAATAAACAACTGAAATCCTAGACAACATTACTTAGCACTACGAAGATAATGAACCACCATCTTTTTGAATTTATAAACAGAAATCGGGAACCTAATATATTTGCTCATCCTCGAGTACTCCGTGCCCGCACGAAACGTGAAAAAGTTGCGCCCTACCAGAGAACGAGGTTGTCGAAAAGAAAGCTTGAACCGATCCCCTCTAGTTTTAGATGATACCAGTTCGAAAAAGGAATTGCGGTTTAAGTCAACTCTTCCATTCAAGATATTATAAACCATAAGTATGTCATTACGCCGCAGCCTTGAGTATATTGGATCCAAATTAAGAATTTTGTTTCTGATTATACCCCGTGGAATGCTTTTGTAAGTGAAACCAAGTGCCCTAATAAACAATTTCCTGGTAAAGTTATGCTGAATCTTTTCCAATTTGTCAATGAATTTTTTTCTTGCGGGGAAAATAGACACATGTACCGTACTCCAGAATAGATCGCACGTAAATCTTGTAAGCCCTAATGAGCAATAAAGGGTTCTTAGACTTAAGCGATTTGAAAAGTAGAAACACTCTTCTTTCTGCCTTACTGACCAATTCCGTTAGATGCTCTTCAAAAGTCAATTTCGCATCTACAAGAAAGCCTAAGTCTCTTACGGATTCCACTTCATCAAGAGCCACTTCATTAATGTAGTATGGTGAGCCTGGATTGGATCCTCCCAAACGAAGGACTTTGGTTTTATCAGCACTTAAAGGAAGCCTGTTGGTATGAGACCAGTCCACGATAGCATCTATTGCTTTCTGGAGCTGAATATCTGTGGGGTTTCCTACGATACTATAGATTTTTAGGTCATCCGCAAACATTTTTATGTTTACACCAAGATTTTGAATCTGAGCTGGCAAATCATATGTATAAATATTGAATAAAATGGGGGACAAGACACTTCCTTGGGGAACCCCACTGATGGCATGTCGGACCGTGGAAGCATGGCCATTCACCAACACTTGAAAGGTACGACCAGCGAGGAAGCCTTCTATCCACTTGATTATTCTACAATGAATACCGATTTCCCCAAGCTTATGTAGTAAGATGGGGTGTGAAACTTTGTCGAAAGCCTTTTGGAAATCAAAATAAATAACGTCTACACTTTTTTTGGTATCTAAAGCTGATGTCCAGTCATTCATTGCTTCCAGCATGAGAGTTACTGTGGATTTTCTTGTTCTGAAACCGTGCTGATGGTCAGACAAAATATGGTTAGATTCTATGTGTCGAACGATGGCTTTCTTCAGTATTTTTTCAAAAAGTCTGCAAAACACGGATGTGATACTAACAGGCCTGTAATTGTTGGGATCGCAGTGTGGAGGTTTTTTCCTGATTGGGATAACATACGCATGCCGCCAGCTACGTGGAACTACAGCTTGAAAAAACATTAAGTTGAACAGAAACTCAAGTGGTGTCGAAATGATATCAGCTGTCCTTTTTATGAAAAGAAATGGAATGTCATCTGGTGTAGCAGAAGAAGAATTACGCCATCTAGAGATGTTCTCAAAAATTTCTTGACGGCTAAACCAAACAGAGTCCTCCATAGGGGGGATGCTACCGTGGACGGGTTGTGGACCATTGCTTACAAAAGGCTTAACATAAACTTTTTCAAAAACCTCGGCCAACAATTCAGCCTTATCCGAATCAGAAACCACTATCTTGCCATCCTGCCTCTTCAGTGCACTAACTCCTTCTTTACGATTAATGCGAAAGTTCAGGAATTTGTAGAAAGATGCTCTGTTATTCGATTCCATAACCTTTTTTTCTACGGACAGATTATATTTGAGGAGTTTTTTCTCAAACT